GCACGATTTTTTGGGTATGTGGTAGCCATTGACGGTGCAGTCTTCAGTCGCTGCATGAGGAACCAATACAATGGCGCAACTGGGTGTAGCCTCATGGTTTCCTTCACTACCATGCTCAAATAGTCCAATTTCCCCAAGTCTGATTCCTCCACCATTCTCCCCAATCCAACAACATCTTCTAGCTCCTTTTGGACTTTCTTCATTGCCTTTGGATGCCTCATAAGCTCGGACAGTGCCCACTCGACCGTAACTGATGATGTGTCAATGGAGCCCACCAACATATCCTGCAAGGAAATTTGCCATTTTTTCACGTAATGTGGTGTAGAAGACATAGTCGAAACTATATACGCATGATAAATAACAAAAGGGACATGTATAACAGATCAATTGAAACAAAATTACACATAATAAATGGTTCAGATTTACAATCTTAAACCTTGACATGTTAAATTGTCTCAAAGAAATGATTTCGTTTTACTTCGAGTAATGCTAGAATAGAAGGAAAAAGAATTAGAATGATGCAACGATTTGGTGTTTAGTGCCACCATGCCTATATGTCTAAGTTTTTGTGTATACTAACAAATATTATGGCTTTGATATGAGGGCGTTCGATTCGGTATTCAGATTGTTCAGATCCCATGAAGGCCACCATGACATCAACAAAGTCTTTAGTCCTTTCTCCCTCGTTAGATTGAATATGCTCGTCAATGACCTTCTCAAAGAAGGTATCAAACGCCTTGTTAACAGACTTCATCCGCTTCGTGAAATCTTGGAGGTCGAAGGGAGCTATAAAAGGAATGTAATCACCCAAGTTAGCGGCGCCTATCAATTGGACGCCCTCTTCGATCACTGACCTGAAACCCCTCGCATCAAACTCCTCATCCTTATACATCTTCCCAAGCACCATCCGCAGGGCCGGCCCTGACTTTTCGGTGGCCCTAGGCAATAAACTAAATGAGGCCCCTTCCCTTAGTATATATAAAATTGCAAAAAAAACAACAAATAAAATGATTTTATGTAGAGTGTAGCCATATCTCCATATAAAACAAAAAAATTCTGATTACGTATTTAATATCATGAAGGAAATTAAAAATTTACAAACCAACATTCCAACAACCAATAATGGGAACATGTCAAGATACATTAAAACTAAGTGCTCTTCACTTTTAACACCAAATCCTTGTACATTTTATTCTTCTTTCTACTATTATTAGGCTGGAAGTGCTCTTATTATATGTTTATTATAATATATAATAGACACCGAAATGACTGGATTGCCCATGCACAACTTTGCAATATAATATATTGAAGTGCAGCATGGCTAATATAGTCATTATCATGAGGAAGAAGCCGAGTGGTACTCGTTGGTATAAAAGAAAGCCGAGCACTCAGCAAAACCATGTTGTGTTTGTATCTCTACAACTTCACAAGACAAAGAAGAAGAAGAGATAAAGAGAGATGGAGGGTGCCACAGCTACTGCCGGGAGAGCAATGACGAACGGTGGAGATTTGTCCAGGAGGAAGAGAAATAAACAACACAGATAGACACTACATTCTTGGGAGAATAGGCTCTTTCATTCAAATTCAGTTCCCAAATGACATTGGTAACATACCAATTTAAGGACTTATCATAATTAAAGACTCTGCATCATCCTACTAATACATAAAACTAACTCACTAATTAATACATGAGCTTATTAAAAAAGAGAATAAGAAAAGTCTCAATATAATAACAAATTAAAACTTCTTGAATGCAATGATCAAGCATATCCGGTTTAGTTCTCCAACAGTACGAAATGAGGCATTGCAGACAGATTATGATCATTTGTGAAGGCGATAGGAAGGAATAGCAATTAGACGTTTTGCCCTTGCAACCGTTATGCCAAACACCTCAGTCATGTCCAATTCTTCTGGCAACATGTTATTCGGAAGTTCCCAATCAAAACAATGGACAAGTTGTGCCAACATTAACTGGACCACCATAAGGCCTAACTGAATTCCTGGGCAACGTCTTCGGCCAGAGCCAAATGGGATAAGCTGAAAGTGATTTCCTCTAACATCAACATCGCTACCCTCAAATCTTTCTGGTATGAACTCCTCTGCATCGGTCCAAGCACTCGGGTCTCTCCCGATTGCCCACGCATTTATGATAACGCGCGATTTTTTGGTTATGTGGTAGCCATTGACGGTGCAGTCTTCAGTGGCAGCATGAGGAACCAACAATGGCGCAACTGGGTGTAGCCTCATGGTTTCCTTCACTACCATGCTCAAATAGTCCAATTTCCCCAAGTCTGATTCCTCCACCATTCTCCCCAATCCAACAACATCTTCTAGCTCCTTTTGGACTTTCTTCATTGCCTTTGGATGCCTCATAAGCTCGGACAGTGCCCACTCGACCGTAACTGATGATGTGTCAATGGAGCCCACCAACATATCCTGCAAGGAAATTTGCCATTTTTTCACGTAATGTGGTGTAGAAGACATAGTCGAAACTATATACGCATGATAAATAACAAAAGGGACATGTATAACAGATCAATTGAAACAAAATTACACATAATAAATGGTTCAGATTTACAATCTTAAACTTTGACATGTTAAATTGTCTCAAAGAAATGATTTCGTTTTACTTCGAGTAATGCTAGAATAGAAGGACAAAGAATATTTAAAATGATGCAACGATTTGGTGTTTAGTGCCACCATGCCTATATGTCTAAGTTTTTGTGTATACTAACAAATATTATGGCTTTGATATGAGGGCGTTCGATTCGGTATTCAGATTGTTCAGATCCCATGAAGGCCACCATGACATCAACAAAGTCTTTAGTCCTTTCTCCCTCGTTAGATTGAATATGCTCGTCAATGACCTTCTCAAAGAAGGTATCAAACGCCTTGTTAACAGACTTCATCCGCTTCGTGAAACCTTGGAGGTCGAAGGGAGCTATAAAAGGAATGTAATCACCCAAGTTAGCGGCGCCTATCAATTGGACAACCTCTTCGATCACAGATCTGAAACCCCTCGCATCAAACTCCTCATCCCTATACATCTTCCCAAGCACCATCCGGCAGCTCATGACCACGCTGAGAGATGAGACATTGTCACTCAGATCAACAGCGACACGTCCATTATCGGCAGTGGCTCGAATAGACTCAACACAGAGAGCAATCGCGTCTCTCCTCATGGACTTGAAGGAGTTGATTTTGTGGTTGCTGAGCAACTCAAGGGTGCACATCTTCCTCGTGTCGCGCCAATATGCACCATATTCAGAGAAAACCAAGCTCCTTTGCCCAAAAGAGATGAGCTTTGCTCCTTCATGTGGTGGCCTACTTGCAAAAACAAGGTCGTGTGTTTTGAGGAACAGCTCGGCGGCTTCTGGAGATGAGATGACAATGGTAGGCATAAGGCCTAAGCGCATGTACATGATGTCTCCGTACTTTCGGGCTAGCCGATGAAGATCCTTGTTAGGAAACTCCCCTAGCAAGTGAAGGCTTCCAAAAATGGGGAACCCTCTTGGACCAGGAGGTAACCTCTTGTTCTTCCACCATGCTTGCAGGATATGAACAAGGGCAAGCAACCCAATTGTTGCCCAAATCCAAACCATTGCTCTTTGAGGATGAGCTCAAATGGTTGACTAGCTGAGTGTGTCTAAGAGGAGAGAAGTCTCTCTATGCTCTTCTCTGTATACTTTGTTTCGTTGTGTTTAATGAATGAGGATGCGTGGAAGATCCAAACATCACACGCTTCTTCATCTACGACCATACATAAAATATCCCAAGGCACCATTTCAAATGAAGCATCAAGATTGAATCGTACATGCCAGAATGCAATAGCTACCCTACCACAAACTTAAGTTGGTCCTTATCCAATAATTCTATTCTATTATGGAGCAATACAGTATACATAGCGTTTTTGTTCTGCCTTTATCTGTCTTTTTTTCATCTCGTAATTTTCTCTTTAAAACAGACAAAGGCCACAGATCAACCGTAGTCCATAGTAACAAAGGCCATTGTTCTTTCGTGGCCAAACCACGGATCATGTCATCGTGTTTGTTACATGGTGTACCTATTACACTTTTTGACTGCATAGTTCAGGAAAAACTTTCATGTGTTTGATAAATTATGTTTTTTTTTCTTTCAAAATTAAATATTTCTTTTACCAACGGAAGAGAGGAAACTCAATTTTAAGACCTTTTCGTGGAACTAGTTGATTTTCTGCTTTTAATAGACTAAAGAAAAAAAAAAGGGTACGTAAAAACATGAATCATGTGCGCATGAGCAGATAAATGCTTTCGTTCGTGAATCATGTGCGCCAAGAGTAGATAAATGCTGTCGTTCATGAATCATGTGCGCAAGAGCAGGCAGCATTCTTAGGCCATCAATTACATAACGAAGAGCATTTGCACCTGAATGTTACATGATCATGAGATGCAAGGGTAAGAAATTAAAAAGAAAAATTGACCCTAAGAACTACTCAAATCCTACAAAAAAAAATTTCAAATATGTTTTTAGTTCAATTGAAATTCTATGATTGTTTTGCTTTTTCCTTTTTGTTAATTAGAGAGTGGGGAATCGAATTTGAAATCACTTTCAACATTGGAATGAAAAATACCACTAGACGAATAGCTAATTGCTAAAAACCATGTTTGTTTTTTTTGGTCTATAAAAACACTCAAAATAATTAGGGTTTAAACTGATATGTTTATTCTTCTCTCAAGGAGGAATATATATACTACATACAAAGTGTGTACAAATAGGAAATATGTACAAAATCTCCTAATTCTACTCAAATTAGATAATTACAATAAAATATAAATTCTATTCATAATAGGAACGTTGACTCACGTCAACACTCCCCCTCAAGTTGGTGCATAGATATCTGTAATGCCCAACTTGTCAAGTGAGTCTTCAAATCGGCGCTTTGACACGGCATGGGTCAACATATTTGCAAGCTGCTCTAAAGAAGGCACAAAAGGTTTAGAAATTAACTTATGCTCCAGCTTCTACTTAATGAAATGCCGATCAACTTCTACATGCTTAGTTCGATCATGTTGCACCAGAATGTTAGCAATTTCAAATGCAGAATGATTATCACAGTAGAGCTTTGTAGCAGCATCCGGTCTAAACCCAATTTCAGCAAGTAACCACCTCAACCACAATATTTCACAAACCCCTTGGGCAATTCCTCTGTACTCAGACTCTGCAGAGGACCGAGACACAACGTTTTGCTTCTTGCTACGACACGTAACTAGGTTACCACCGACAAAGGTGAAGTAACCTGATGTAGAACGTCTATCTGTAATATTCCCTGCATAATCTGCATTAGTGTAACCTTCTAAATCCAAGTGGCCATTTTTCTTAAATAATTAACCTCTCCCAGGAGCAGACTTTAAGTAACTCAGAATACGCATCACAACAGCCATATGGTCCTCACTAGGTGAATGCATAAATTGGCTAGCAACGCTTATCGCATATGCAATATTAGGCGTGTCAATGATAAATAAATCAATCTTCCAACTAACCTTTAGTATCTTTCTTTGTTAGTTGGAACCTGATCCACATAAACACCAAGTTTATGATTCTCAACAATAGATGTATCAGCTGGTTTACAGTCAAGCATTCCAGTATCTGCTAGCAGGTCCATGACATACTTTCTTTGTGAAAGAAATAAGCCATGTTTAGATCGAGTGACGTCCAAATTTCCTTAGCAGTAGGTAGAGTATGAAACATATTCAACAAACTGGGTTCCATAGTTTGTAGCATCCAACTTTTCACAATAGCATCAGCAATTTTCCACTTCCCATATTTTGGGTCTTGGGAATCAGGGGCATCAGTGTCGCCAGTCAGGTAACCCAATTTGCCTTGTGTAGTAGCATGGAGTTCGATCATCGAAGCCCATATCTCATAGTTGGATCCATTCAATTTGAATCCCATAGGTAGATTGGTAGATGATTTGGTATGAACCGTCACAATAGGAGTAGAAGAAGAAGATTCAGTGGCATCTGACATGGTGATAGATGGCGACGGCAGCAGAAGATTAGACGATGACGACAGTAAGATATATAAGACGGTACAGGCTTAGGTGTATAGGCTAGGTGTAGCGGAAATAGGTAT